CTCCCAATTTGAAGAGACCCTTGTCCAGCAGGCTGAGGCAAAGAGGCAGTCCCGAAAGCGACAAAATCAGGGAGCTGGACAGGGGTCAGATTGGATTTGTCTTCAGTGTGGAAGGGATGGTCACTCTCGAATTGGCCTCCTCAGCCACACTAGATGCTGTTCCAAGTCCTCCATACAGAGCATGTTACCATAGTCTTTCGAGACTGAAGGATGCCTCATTCTCACACACCCCCAGGAAAAAAAAACTAACCTGCAACCAAAGCGATAAAGTATGGAAACTGGGGAGTGGCCCAAACCTAAAGAAGATTCGGGAATAGAGATGGGCACGAATCGATTCGTGCCATTTCATGGGAAGCCACACGAATCATTTTGTGCCCCTCTCCGCTCTATTTGGGAACCCTTAACGGACTGAGCCTGTGGCAGAAGAAGGACCGGGTGGGTGAGACCTTTCGTTCACTGGAGCGGAAGTGGGGCAAGCCAAGCCCCCCCCGGGTGCCCTCCTGCCCTGAATAAGTTGAGGGGGGGAAATCTACAGCAGTGACCCCCAACCCTGGGTCAACCAAGTGTTCTTGGACTGCAATTCCCAAAAGACGCCTTCACCCCGCCAGCTCTGCTAGCTTTGATTTCTGGGAATTGCAGTCCAAGAACATCTGGATGACCCAGGATTGGGACTTCACCAGTCTTATCTCTAGAGACCCTCTTGGCTCCCTTCAACCCTGCAATTTCCAAATGGAAGGATTCCCACCTGTGCTGAGTCCCCCACGGCGCCTGCCCTACAACCCCAGCCTTATGCTGGAATGATCATTCCTGTGCCCTCCAAAGTTCCCACCTTATGGCGATTCCAGCCCGGGATGAAATCAAGCAGGTAGTTAAAGGGATCGCGTGGGTTTGGGGAGGGGGGGATGTGGCTGGCTCATGACTATTGCAAATGGTGTCCCCCTGCATCCATTTCCCCTTTCTCTCATCCTCCTTCCTCCCCCCCCCAGGGGTCAGGATTCCCATGGCAGCCCCCGTCTTGACCCGGGTCGAAAATGGGCCGGAGAGACAGGGTATCAATATGTACTTCATGCTGCCGAAGGCCTTTCAGCAGGACCCCCCTGCCCCCATGGATGAAACGGTGCGTAGGTGCCTTCTTACCCCTACCCCACTTAATTGAACCCTGCTCCTCTTTCTGCCTTGCTTCTCCTTGCCACTCTGCCCCCGCCAGACCTCTGGAGGAGTGATCTGCTTCATTATGTAAGACAAGGCAATCCCTTCCTCCATGTAAGCAGAACAAAACACACACACACACCATCTGCATCCCTGCATGTAGAAAGCAACGGGGGGGGGTGAGGAAGTGTGTCACCTACCAGCTCCTTTAACAGCTTGTAGGGTGTTTAGTTTCTTAAGGTCCTTTTCTGGGCACCCTATCATCTGTTCCCATTTTACAGGTGGAGAAAACAGAGGCCAAGAGAGGAACCGCAAGGCTCCACAGTTAGGGGGAGAGGAAGGGGGTAGATCTTGAACCCAGAGCTCTTATCTTAGGTTCACACGCTTTCTTCTGTTGCCCCTGGGTAGCTTGGTGTACTTTTCTCCAAAATGTCTTCTCCCTCTG